TAAATAATTCCAATAGTTAAAATCTTGATGATTAATCTAAAATTAAAATTGTTGTAGTAGCAAAAGGTTGCAAGTAGAGATTGGAATTTATTATTATATTTAGTTGACTAAGTCGACTAAGCATAGTCGTTTACTATATAAATTTTTTACCTAACTAAATCATTTCCAATCCCTAGTTGCAGGCATTATATTTTTTTTAAAATAATGTCTAAAGACTGTATTATTTTGTAAAAAGATAGTATGCATATTTTTATAATATTTATTAAATTTACAGTTTATCCAAAAGCAGTATAAAATGCGAGTTGATAGGATAAACATAAGGTTTTATTGATTATTAAAAATCAGCAAAATTGAAATGTCAATTAAATAATTAATTGAATTGAAGTTAAAAAAAGATAAGCGTAAGTTACTTATTTATTTGCTTACTTATTTTGTTTATTTATTTTTTTTTCATTTATTTATCAATTCGTTATCAAAATTCTGCCAGTAAGGAAAATATTACTGCAATTTCTAATCTTGGACACTGCAATCAAATGAAATAGATGCTGAAAAGGATAAACATAAGCTTAGAGTTTTATTAAAATTGGCAAAGATAAAACTAGCTATTTTGATTAAAATGGAATTGGAATTAAAAATAAATGTAAGACATTTATTTATTTGTTTCTTTTTATTTGTTTATTTATTTATTTATTATTAAAATTCTGCTAGTAAAAAAATATTACTGTAACTTATAACCTTTAACTTTTACGATAGCTACAGTTAAGTAAAATTATTTTCATAATGCTAGCATGTTTGTACTATTAATCTTAACTAGCATATCATTTACTATCAATTAGAAGATGTTATTCAACAACAAGCAAAAAAAACCTGCTACTTATACAGCACTTCTGATATGTATGAAGATCTAGTGAGTAATAATGATAAAATTAATCTATTTAAAGAGTAGTAAGGATCTTACAGAATTATTGATTAACAGCGAATACTATACACATAGATTAAATTGAGCGATTTCACCAAATAGAAATGATCTCTATAAGATGGAAAGGATAATTTGCACTTCTATGCTGATGTTATGCGAGAAGCTAAGTTAGAAAAAGAAGAGGATCATATTAGATGTAAAGTTGAAGAAATAGTTAAAGAAAAAAAGGAAAAGGCAAAAGAGGCATTAGTAGAACAGGCTGCTACTCAGAAAAAATGAATATAGAATTAGAGTTGTAAAATTACCGTAATTTTATGTAATTTTACATAAGTTTGTATAAGTTTCTGAAATCAAAATTACATGTAATTTTGATTGTGTGAATGATTTTGGTCAAAATTTTTGTAAAAATGAATATAAAAATTATAGCTCAGAATATAATTATGGATATCAAATACTGGCAAAACTTTTGTAATGCTAATGCAATTATCATGTAACAATGCATTATTTAATATAAAGTTACATTAAAGTTTCATAAGTTACAATGTAATTTTATTGTAATGTAAAATTGTAAAATATAATTTTTAACTCTATATAGAATATGGTGACACCCGCAGAAGTTAAATCAAGTTCTGAATAGTCAAAACCTGATGATAAAGAACCTATATTAAAGAGTAGATAGAATAAATCTCCTGGGATAATGGATGAAGATACTAGTTTAGAGACTTCTCGCAAAAGTAACAGGTGAGATGTTACTCTACAGGTTTCAACAAAAAAGTCTTATTGGGAATAGGCACTGAAAAGGATGGATGTAGAGCTTTATTAAAATTGGCAAAAGATAGAGTTAACCATTTTTATTAAAATAGAATTGAAGCTAAAAAAGACAAACGTAAGGCATTTATTTATATAGTTGTTTATTTATTTGTTTAGTTATTTATTTATTCATTTGATATCAAAACTCAGCTAGTAAGAGAATTTACTGTGACTTGTAATTTTGGATACTGTTATTGAATGGAATAGATGCTGAAAAAGATGAATGTGGAGTTTTTAAAATAGGATTGGCCATTATTATTAAAATAGTATTGAAGTCAAAACAGATGATTATAAGGCATTCATCAATTCATCAAAATGCTGAGACACAAGAAACAATACTGCAACTTAAACATTGTTATTGAATAAAATAAGTGTTAAAAAAGATAATATAAAAGACTATATTTGATAAGGTTGAGAAAACTTGTATATTACTATTATATTATCCTTTATTAGACGTTAGAATTTTAAACCTTTTAATATTTTGGAATTTTGAATATTCAATAGAATTTTTTTTTGTTATATAAGTATCAGGATCATAAAACTATCAGAATTTTGTATATTAGAATTCTTATAAAGTGTTCAGACTTATGCAATTTTAGGATTTTTCATTGTTTAAATAATAAAAAATCTCTGAAATTACATAAGTTTGAACACTCTAAAAATTTTATATTAATCAATATTGTCATATTTGCAGATTAATTATTTAATCACAGAAAATGAAAGTATAGGAAAAGGAGCTGATGTAGTAATCTCTTTAGTCTACAATTACTTTATGAATTATGGTCTTGGAAAAAAGCATGTTATTATACACGCTGATAATTGTATGAGCCAGAATAAGAATAATGCTATGATTTAGTATCTTATGTGGCAAGTGATGAATAGTTTACATAATAGAATTATTTATTCTTTTATAGTTGCAAACTACATGAAATTTAATCCTGATGGATTTTTTGGTCTCTTCAAATTAAAACTTTGAAAATCTGAAGTTGATAATCTAAATGATTAAATAAATATATTTCAAAAATCTACAGTAGATAGGTATAATCAGGCAGAAACTGTTTATAACTTGAATGGAAATAAAAAGATTCTTTTCTATAAGTGGTCTAAATTTTTAAGTCAATTTTTTACTCTAATATCATCAATTTAAAAACAACATCATTTTATACTCTCTAGTAAGAATATTGGAAAAGTTGAGATTCGAATATCTAATGATAGTATATCAAAAGAAATCAATATTGAGCTAATTCAATTCCCTGTATAAAGAATACCTTTTCAGAAGTAATACCAGCACATGAGATCAGTTTGGAGTAACAATAGTATCTGTACGAAGAAATAAGATAGCATATTCAAGACCTATTCAAACGTAATCTTTATTGTTTTAAGCTAACTCAACCTAAGCCAAAGAAAGTAAAAGTTCTTTTACAATCCAAAACTAACAATTAATTGTTTTAAAAAAATAAATCTTTTTATTATATTTTATATTGATTGTTTTAATAGTAGAATTACAATTAGGTTTTTTTTTTTAAACCTCTTTGACAGTGCTGTCTAAAGACATCATATGATGTAATTAGTTTTTTTTTTTAAATTTAAACTTAGAGTAACTTTTATTAAATCTTTAAATATGGTCTTATATTAAATTAAAAGGTTTAATATACTCAGATTTTATACATTATAATATACCTAAGAGAAATTTTAATAATAAGTAATTCAATGATAATACTGTCTATAAATAAGAAAATACTAGAAACAAGTATAGTTAAATAGAATAGTTCTTGCATATAAAGTGAAACAAAGTAAATTTTTCATATTTTAGTTAAAACAATTTTGTTTTTTTTTTAAAAAAAGCTAGGCAGCCAGGTCTATTCAGTTTTAATGAAAGCCAAAAAATTATAAAATAATAGAAATAATAATTTTATTTACAAAAAAAGTAAATGGTTTAACGTTAAGTAATATGACAAAAAATTTTAAACAAGTTTTTGATTCAATTTTGTGTAACATGCTAGGTCAACAGAAATTAAGCTAATCTATTAGATAAATTTGCTTGATTTCTGTTGACCCAGTATGTTACACAAAATTGAATTAATCTTTCAAAATTACTAGTTTGATTAGATCATATTATATAGAGTCAGATATTGTTTACTAAGTATGGTACAAAAATATGATTTTCTCGAAATTAGTGATTTACTGATTTGCTAGATTTCTGTTGACTCACCCCCATATGTTTATTTGAGAAGATGACCAGGTCAGGCTAAATTTTTTAATTGACTAATTAATAGTTCTGTACGTTAACATAATCAAACAATTTTAATTTTTTTAATTTTTTTTTTTGATTTTTTTTTTGATTTTTATTTTTAAAGATTGGAACTGTTTAACTGCTTAAAAATTATTTCATAGCATCAGGAGAATTATATTTATTATATGTCAGAATTATTTTAATTCTGACTAAATTAAATAGTTAAATGGTTAAATAATTAATATTAAGAAAAATTTTGGTGATTAAATTTTTTTTGAAATTTTTTTTTTTTAATTTCCTTTTTTTTAATTCTTAAATTTCTTTTTTTTTGTTTTTTGTTTTAATTTTTTTCTTTTCAATTTCTCATATAGGTAGATAACTTGACAGTGAAGTACATCTTCTTGTAGAGGTTGTACTTTATGATATGAATTTTTTGGTTTTTCTAGATGAACTAAAAATCAGCAGGATGAATTCATAATAGTATCAGCAGCGTATTCGAGAAATTGCTAGTGCAAAATATATTAATAACAATAATATTTTCAATATCTAGTCTAATATGTGGATAATACATTCTCTGACTAATGAATATATAGAATATTCAGTTAGAAAGAAAGATACAACAACGGATGATAATAATTTTGATATTTCTTTATATGTTTGCAATTGTCATGATTTTCAATCACAACAATTGCCCTGCAAACATGTGTTCACCATCTTGGCACAAAATCATCTAAATGATGAAAATCTAGAAGACTACTAACTACTACTCATAGACATGAAATTAGTTCTTCTAATTCCTATATTTCTTGTAATTCTTTAATAGATAAAAAAAATGATAAGGACTTTCAACTTAAAAAGTTGTACAAAGAGTTTTCTGCAATTTTTATAGAATGGAAAAATAAAAATGGTAACGATATTTACAATCTACATATGGCTTTACAATATGTAGTCTAAACAGAATGAGAAAGGATTACAAGAATTAAATTGGTTCCACAAGCTATTATTAACGATGAACAAAGAATCTATTAAATTAATTAAATAGCTCCAAATACAAAAATTAGAAGCCAAAATAAGTATTAATTTTATTTATTTATTGATATATTTTTGTATGTGCATATATATTTAAATCTACTAATCAGAACTAGCAAAATAAAATCTAATAATTAATTTGAAGTTATTTGTTTAAAAAATTCAGTGAATTAATTAATTCATAAACAAAAAAGTATACGAGGTAGATTTGAAAGATTTTAATATTTATGTTTATTGAGACAATGACTCTACTTGACTTTACAATTATTTTCATAACTGCAAGTTTTGTATTATAATTGTATTGTATTAATCTAAGTGTGTGCACTAATTCTTTTAAGTTAGTACACATGTACAGGTTAATACAATAAAATTATAATATGAATCTTGCAGCTAGACTAGGGCAAAAAGTCATAATATAATCAACCTTTTATATAGAACTAATAGTAAGTCTTTAAAGTTGATTATATTTAACTGTACTTCGAAATTTTATTAGTAAAAAATTTGTATGTTTATGAAGTATCGAATAAAAATAAATTGTTACTTAAGCAATCAGTACACACATAACGATAAATATTTAAAACCTTTTTATTTATTTTTTTGTTAAATTACCTTGTAATATTTGAAATATCGAATAAAGAATTTTTTTTTACTTGAGCAACTAGTATGCACAAAATAATAAATATTTAAGTATATTTTTTATTTATTTTAAAAATTATATTTTAATTCTGTAAAATTTCCACTTCTCTTTGTAACTATAAAACTGAAAATAAGATACAACGAAATGTTAATCGAAGCTTTTTTTTGGAACTTGTAGTAGTGCTAAGGGTAGCGTGATTTATTTTATCCAATTAGAAATAGTATTTTATACATCTAATCAGAACTTGGAAGGAAAATTAGAGCTCTCAAAATATATTAAAGTAGATTAGTTAGAGATAAGTGATTGTTAGAAGATCATTAATCATATTTTTAACTCTAAAAGATTTAGTTTTGTTAAGAGAGAAGTTGAAATAGTTTGAGAATAGAGAGGTATTATTGTTAAGAAGAAGCTATGTTGATTGCTAGTCAATTTGTGCAGAGTATTGTGTCTAAGTAAAAGTATATTTTTGAGAGGCCCATGTAGCAATATTATAAGCATTGCATATATTTTTAATAAATTAATATGTTTGTTGCTTGATAGAATAGTCATTCTACTGAAATGTATATAATCATATATAGGAGTTTAGGTGGTTGAATTGGAGATATAGTAGTGTAGAATGGCAGTTAGTGAGTTAGTCAGCTTTGTTGTTGAGTTTATTATCACTATATGCTTGAACTTTATATAAATTAATAGATAAGTTGTAGGTTTTGATAAGTTTGAATAGTATTTGCTATATTGGCCAATAGTGAAAGGATGAGAGTTTGTTAGAGTTAGAGTTTTATTGTATAGATTTGTTGAATTTGTTTATTACTAATAGTGAGTCAGTATAGATATTAATTTGGTAGTTTATAGATGCTGTGCTGATTGCTGATAGTATAGAAACAAGTTCAGCTTTGTAGGAAGAGAGCTAGTATTTAATTTGTGCAGAGTAAGAGTGTATGATATTGTTGTTATTATCAACTTGTATCTA